TTTGCCCCAAGAGAGCACCAACATATTTAATAGGAAGTGTCGTTGTCTTACAACCCAACGCCAAGGCCCAAACTCTCCTCATCTCTCCGATCACCGATTCTAACCATTTCCGTCTTTCTCATATTTATTTTGAGACCGGACACCATTTGAAAACAAAGAAGAATGCATCTCAAGTGAAGTATAGCATTGATGGTAGGTTTACAAAAGATAAGGGCATCATCCGCAAAAAATAAATGAGAGATCTTGACACTTTCTTCCCCCCTTCCCACAGCCACACTATTCAATAATTTCAATTCCCCTGCTTTCTCCATGAGTCTACTAAAAGTCTTCATAACAGTGAAGAAAAGTAATGACGACAAGGGATCTCCTTGTCATAGCCCTCTAGATGCTTTAAAGAAGTTTGAAGGGCCCCTATTAACCATGATTGCAAATGAAGTAGTAGAAATACATTTCATGATCCAAGTCCGCCATTAGCACCCAAAACCCATTCTTCTAAAAGCAAATAATCCACAAAATCCCAGCAAATATGATCATACACCTTTTCCATATCAATTTTACACAAAAGGCCCTCTTTTTTCTGCCCTGCCAACTCATCCACCAATTCACTAGCAATCATCACAGCATCAAGGATTTGTCTACCCTCCACAAACACATTTTGCTTCTCGCCAATCATCTTACCCAACACCTTAGAGAGTCTCTTCGCTATAACTTTTGAAATCAATTTGTAGATACTCCCCACCAAGCTAATCGGTCTAAATTCTTTAATATCTTTCGCACCCAGCACATTTGGAATAAGAACCAAGAAAGTTGAATTTATAGAGTTGACAAAAGACCCTGCCCTATGAAAATCATTGAAAACAGCAATCACATCTTTCTTTATCACATCCCAAAAGACTTGGTAGAGTTTCATATTGAAACCATCTGGGACGGGCGCCTTATTCCCATTACAATCATCAAGACACCCTTTTATTTCCTCTTTAGTGAATGATGCTTCTAACCCATCTCTACTTTTATCACATAACATCTTAAATTGCATATTGTCAAGATTGGGTCTTCTCTGCTCATCTTCCGTATATAGTTGTTGAAAAAACAACTTAATAGAAACTAAAAAATAGAAACTAAAAAAATTAGAAACTAAAAAATTTAATCTACAAAAGAGTGCTAAAGGTTTTCAGATATAGCTTAATAAAATATTATTTTCAAAAGGTTAAGGCTCCATTTTTTATGTGAAATGTTTATTTATTTTCAATATCTACAATTATGTGGCTACACGTGAGAACATGCTTTTAAGATAGAGGAGAAAGAACCACGAGAAACGGTCAAAGACTTTCTCAATATCAAATTTACATAGAACACCTAGCTCACATTCCTTAAGACACTATCAACCATTTCACTGGTGAGTAACGAGGTATCAAGAATCTGTAGTCCCTGTCACCCCCCACCAACCTCAATAAGGCCATAGCATTGTTGAGCTTTTCAGGAATCACTTCAGGTTGTAGATGTGCCCCACAAGGGTAATCAGCTTGAAATCTTTAAGGCTATATATTGGCCAATCTCGCGAGCCAACATAACAGAAGTGGTATTGATGGATATTAAAGAAAGGGGTAATCTTTAAATATGACCTCTGTCCCCCCACATTACACACAATTTTTTCTCCTGTTAGAATTAGCCATCCAATGGAAAAAATTTAGTATTTCTATATTGTTTTTGATCTAGATAATTCTTGACTGCTGTATCTAACCAAGCTCCTCCATAAGTAATAGATTGGCGAACTTTAACTTCGCAAGACTT